AGGGTTTAGGGTTTAGGGGTGGCAGGAGAAGCCCGACCTGAACGGCACAGAGTTTGGCTCCTACGGCGACCAAGATCACCTGAATCTGGGCTTTGGTTAAGAGATTTATAGTTTAAACCAGCATAATAAAGAAGCCTTTATTATTTACTATAGACCCCTATCATGGCATTTTAACTTACACTCCTCCAGGAACGAGTGGGTTGCCACGCAGTTCACTTTTCATGGGGAGCTGCTGGTGGATGCCAAGGCACTGCGGCCAAACGGGGCCGCATGCCAGCCGCATGTCTGGCATGAGCGCTACAAGGCCACTCGTGCGGAGGGGGCGCCAGTCCAAACAGCGGTTGGTCGCTTCTGCAGCCTGCCGATGCTGGGTTCTTGTTAACGGGTTTATTTAATTGAAGGCAAATACAATAAGGAAACCATATCATTTACTGTAGATCCCTATATTATGGTATTTTAAATAAACGCCTGAAACCACAACCCAGGATGTCCTTCAACTTCTGTGCCACGGCTTCTTGTCTGGTGCAGCTTGCTCGCGGCGAGCACCAACTTGCCCAGATAGCCTGGAGATCGATGGGTCGGGGCCCGGGACCCTCGCGTATCAAGGTTCTGCATTGGCCTGGTCCCCTTTTGAAGCCTTGGCAGCGTTGTATCGACGACGCCCGCTCGACGCTGGATCGCCTGTGGTGGTCTCACTACCACGCAGCTTGCGCGGAAGCCCCTCTTCGCGCGCCATGCCGCATCCGCTGTCGCGAGGAGACTTAATCCGTAAGGACGAAAAGAACCTTAAGAGTAGGGGCCCTATTCCCTTATACTATGAATCCTGAACCCTAAACCCTTTTAGGGCTCTTTCGTCCTTAAGGATTACAATTGTCCTTAGACGGTTGCGAAGATTCTGGTTGGAGGGCCAAAGGATCTCATTGAGACCATTCCTCCTCCAACTCTGCGAAGCCGAACAAGACCTGAGACCCTATTGAGATCCTGCCTGAAGTTTTTTCATCCGGCGATTTCCAGCATTTGGAGGCTGCCCCCCCTCCAGTTCTGCGAAGCCGAACGATCCGGTTCCACGCGAAGTGCAGTCAGGATGCTGCAAAGAGTAAAAAAAAAAGCTCGCAGTGCACATTACCTATAGTTTCCATAGTAGTTCCTTTGTTTGGTTTAGCCAATTCTATATTAAGGATTCTGTAAGGTACCCCCAGAAAGGAACTACAATGGAGACTATAGGTAGTACCCTACATGCCCCTGATGAAGCCCACATTGTGCCCCTGATAGATCCTCAACCTTAAATCCCTTTGGCTTTATAGTGCCCCCTAATTACAGTACCCCTCTAGTAGAAAGGTTATAGTGCCTCTTAGAGAGTCGTTTAGAATCCCTAAACCCTGAAACTGCCCGCCTCCTTTTGGGAGTTTTCGGTTCTCAGAGCAACCTGGCTAAACCCTAAGCCCTGGCGAGATTTTCTACAGCATTCTCGTCGACCGCTTCGCAAATGGCGACATCAGCAACGATCAGAGCCCCTTGGGCCAAGGCAGCTCCCAAGGTTTAGAGTTTAGGCTTTTATGTAGGGTTTAGTCTTTATGGTCTAGGATTGAGGTTTAGGTTTTTCGGGTTTCATGTTTAGGGTTTAGCAGGGGATTTAGGATTGAGGGTTCAGGGTTTACTGACACTTTAGGGTTTAATGTTCTGGCTTTAGGCTTCTTGGATTTAATGTTTATGGTTTAGGGTTGAAGGGGTACCAGATCAAGTTAGTGGGAGAGCCTGAGCTCTGACAATCGAATGCCTCCGTAGATGGTACGGCGTGGGGACTGCAGCTAGACCCACAAAGACCCTATAAAACCAACCTTGTTAGGGCCCCTCATTATGATTTCCTTATATAAGTCCTTATAACGGTAGGTTTGTTGGGGGCTTGCAGTAACCGGTTCAAACCCCGGAACCCACAAGTCAGAACCCTGAATTCGACCCATGAAGTCACGAAGTCCTAAACCCCAAACTCGAAATCCAAGGCCCTAGAAACACCGCGCGCCCCTCCTAGACCCTAAGCCTAAGCCCTAACTTAAGCCCCCAAGCCCTGAACCCTAAACCTTAAAAGCCCGAAGGCCTTAAACCCTAAACCCTAAACCCTAAACCCTACCCTAAGCCTAAGCCCATAAGCCAGCCCATCAGTTGGGCTTTGGGCCGAACTTAAGGTTTAGGGATTAGGGTTTAAGGATTATTCTAGGGGCCGCAATAATTACCTGTATTCTCTTGGGGGCTCCTCTGTGTAATTATGCTATAATATACCCCCAAAGCCCTAGTCTAATGATTAAGGTCCCTATATTAGGCTTTAGGGATTAGGGTTTCGGGTGTACAATGAGGTTTTTTTTGAAGT